GTGTAAGATTATTGTCAGTAAATAATATTTATACGAGTATATCAAGGTTTTATGTGTTTCTATCTTATTATTTCCTTAAGATGATAAATTGCATCTGACTATCTTTGACATCAACATCATTTATAAATTAAAAAAGAAACGACGTAAGAAACTATAGAGTAGAATAGTGATGTACCGCTGTCCGCTGTCGTATCTGTCGATTTGCTTCCAACAAACTCGTTAAGGGGACGACTCCGCTCTTAAACTTTGCAGAACTCAAGTTTAGACTGAGTTACGATTATAAAATTTGTTCTATTGGGGTCATTGAAAACTTCGCTTGGGAATGCAATCTTCAAGCGGAGTTTATGGGGAGGTGATTAATGAAATTGATGGTATGATAGCCATGATCTAGAGCACCAATTTCTTGTGATAAAAACATATTTGTATCTTTGGTGTAATTATAGGGAATTTGACATAAAATTACGCCAAAGTAGTAGCCATTTTTCACCAATTAAGGTGTGAACAATACCGATAAATTAGTTTGCAATTATACTTCTATTTAAGTATGTATTTTCTTTCCAAACCTGCAATCAGCTGTGAAACGTGGGACCGTGGCATGCTTCATTGTGGCATGTAGATTAAATTACCTACTTATTAATACTTGACATACCTATCTTCTAGGTAGGTACCCTAAGATATAGTTTGATGAGCGATAACTTTCACATAACAACTGCTCCGAGCTTAACTCTGACGTAAGCCAATAGATGACTCGGGATGGATGGCTAATGAAAACTTGGTCGTATCACTTTTGTATAAGGATAAGCTCTACTTTGTTAAAGACTTAGATAGTGAGGGGCTTATAAATAGCTTGGTCGCAGTTTCGCATTTGTGTCAAGTCTTGGTAGGCGTCGACCACAGCGGCTCGGCTTTCGGCTTTCGGCGCGAGGCCGCGTAGCGCGTGGTTAGCGCCCCAAACCACCCATCTGTTCCTTGTTTATGGCTCGCAACTTTACTGTTACTCTGGCCGAACGTTCCTTTAATCGTTTTATTACTTTTTGTTATTTATTTCTATGCCAAATAACAAATTCTGCTGAACGGCCAATTTATAACAAGTAAATGTTATTTTTAAACGGAAACGAATGATCACGGGTAATCAGTAGCACAGGAAACATAAAATATGTACATAGGAGCCACGGACGGAAAATGCGAGGATTTCAGCTGTGAAACATAAAGGCACGAGTGAAATAGCGACACGTGCATGGAGCCGGCGCCGGCGGTACCTATTCAACATTTGTAATCTGCATCACACATCATTTTGGCACATCTCTAGTTTCAACTCAAATGTTGCGTATATTTGCCTATTCCATCAAATAGCACGACACCTGAAATGAGGATTAACTTACTAACAAATGTCAACTTTTACAAATTAACAACACGATGAAAAACTTCTCATTATAACCCAGTGATGAAGGTGGCCCACTTTACATCGGCCTTGTATTTTTAACACAATTAGTTGAAACGTTTCATTTCGTTTCTTTGTCACTCAGTCATAATTGTTGGCTATTTATTATTATTATCTCTAGCTATAACAATAAACAAGCTGCAGAGTTTTGTTCATAAATCACAGGAGTTCCGTAACTAGGACGAGAGTGTCACACTTTCTATTTTTGCTGCTCTCTTTGCTCCTTGCAGGCGATATTATTTATTATTGTTTATACATAACAGGGGAAAATATCAGTCATTATGAACATCAACATATAGTATTGTTTAAAGTAGGTATTCTGAATTTGTTACAGTAATAAAATTTAAATGGAGAGTCAGTCAGATTATAAATGTATCTTTGGTTACCAGTTAAGTATAAAAGAGTCAAGTTGTATAATGTAGCTAGCAACTACCAAGTTCTGTTAGTAGCAGTTTAGTTGCTCATTCACGTGCATCCCACACCCATTCCCCTTGGAGTAAACAGAGGTAATCACAATCAGATGCCGCGAGGTACAGGGTGATTGACACGTAATAGGTAGCGTTACATTAGCGAAGCGTTAGCGAGAAAAATAACTAACTACTGAACTACTGCATCAGTATAGAAGAAGGTTAATATTTTTCATTGATAGTCAACTTTTACAAAGACTCGAAGTTTTTTTTAAGGGGGAAAATCATCGAATGACTGCTCCCGCCTGGGTGAGTCTGAAGGGAGTGTCAGACTCTTACTGACTAAAAACCACCCCGCCCCTTCTCCTGCACGTCGAGCCGGAGCCCTGGTAACCCGTTAGGTTCTCCGCAAGTTTAGGTTCAGGCTTCCGCAATGATTATCTTAGTATTACCACTACAATATTTATGGTGCCATTAAATTCGAAGGGATAAGTAAGCAGGTGTACGTCCAAAATGAAGCAATAAATGAAGGACTAAGTCCTATATGATAATGGCGGGCTGTGCAAAGATATTCACTGAAGATTGTAAACAATGTATCCTCGCTCCTCTAAATATAAATCATAGCCATTGGCAGTGCAAGCCAAGCGTAGGCGGGCGCCCACGGACTAGCGTTTCTAAGAGACCGGATAGCTTGTGGAGAAATTATGTCTCGAGCTGAGATCGGGCTAAAAATATTACAGAAAATCTTGTCTTGTAGGCATTTTGTTCAGTAACTGATGTTTCTTATAGTTATAGCACGAACGTTTATATATAAATACTAGCTGACCCGGCAAACGTTGTTTTGCCATATAAATAATTACTAAAATATAAATAAGTATGTATTAAATATAATGACAACAAGCCAATCGAATTAATCAACAACGAATGAATTGTGGATACGTTACACAGCAATTCAACATAATCAAAAATATATTTCAAATAATAAAACACGATAAAGACACAATATTATGGAGAATGAACTGAAATGTTTATTTAATGTCGGGCTCGTACACAATGGTCGCACCTGCGTCTCGTTTATAGTATCAATACGATACTCGATTGCTCTTGTGTCATGTGTACTGTCGTTTCGTATTTGCCGACATCAATCGATATTAATAAATCGTTGTGACGTTGTTGTGCCTTAGAGCGATGCAAAAGCAATTTGTATACTTGGATTTGTGTGCAGTGTACACGGTCGCTTGTCGCTGTCATCCAGCAGTGTGTCCTCAACCTTAATGTGTCGTATGTTTGCCCGTTCGATTTACGTGTGACATGAAAGACGCACGCTATCATCCTTTCAGACCGGCACGTTAGCTTTGCGAATTCATTATAAACTTGATGGAATACTTATACGTTTATATTAAGTATCTTTACTTTCTTGTTCGCAGGGTATTGGAAATTTACTTTGCGCTGTATTTTTCGTACCTTCCTTTGAGATATTTACCCACCGAAATATTAAAAACTATATATATGGATTCTACAGTAATTTTCAGACCAATATCAATAAGCAAATAGTATTTCTCATTTTAGAATTTATACTCTAATTACAAATAAAAATTATTTATTAAAAATTGGTATCGACTAGGTATCTACTCATGTTTTGAACGAAACAATGTTTGGTACATACTTAATCACTTACAATGAAAAACTTTATTAATGCCAAGAGATTAACCACGCCCGGTCTGGCTATGTGTTGGACTGATTCCATAAATCAATTTATTATTGCTCAGAAGGGTGTAAATCGGTATCGAAAATGTAATTAGTACGAAAATGTGAAGAGCTGGTGGTTAACATGATGATATGTGTGTGTATTTATAGAAATATACTCCGATGTTATAGCAATTAGGTTGATAGTAGTGCACGGTAACCAATTTGGAAATAGCGTGTGCAGTTATTGCTACGAAATATGTTGGCCGCTACGAAATTCACTTTAATGTTACGAGAAGCACGTTCACTGCTACGAAATCTGTAGAAGTAACTACGAACGCTACGTTCGCTGAAACCAAATGCAATTTTGCTCTTTCAAATCACTGCTTATTGTTATTATCTTTAGATGTTATTATCGAATGCATAAAACTTTTGTAAATTATATACTTCCTTTTAAAATTACATAGTAGATACGTAACTGAATTCCCTTAAAACTATAACTAGATTAATTTATGTGCAACATGCCGATACTAGTTCGTGGTAGGTATCAGGAGAACAGATTGATTGATTGGGTTGGCGGCATCTGGTTGTGTGATTGAACCTCCATTTGGTTTGCTGTAAAATTTTATTATGTTGTCTGATAAATATGGAAGCTTATTGAGATTATTTTTATCTGTTAAATAAAATTTCGAAAATAATTCTACCTCTGTGTTAGAAAGTACTTTCAAGAATAAAAATATATGAGAATGCTGCGGTGAATACCGGGTTTGGTTTGTATATAGACTCACGTGGACGGACGGACAGTCCGAACCCAATTCTAAAATCAGTCACGTTGCGTTTTAAAACCCCTAAGTTATTTATAAATGTTGGAACTAAAAATACCCAAATGTCATCCGGTACACAAAAGAGATTTCCAACAGCTAACACATCGAGCTCGTCCCATATCCACATTGTATATTGTCGCGTGAAATAAATCCTTTTCATTTTATTTATGGTAGCGGTCATATTCTTTTTATAGGCCGGCTATTTTCGGCCATTGGCCGGCTCTTTATAGCCTAATAGATCCGTAAGCTAGGACAGCCTGCTATGGAGCCTCAGTCTAGAACATAATAAAGCGAGAGCTTATGAAAATCTCGATTGTCCGTTATGTGGAACCTTCCACAACACTCTTCTGCCCGTACTTTCTTCATAATATAATTATGTAGGGTACATAGTCCTGTATGCTGGCTACATTAATTATACAGTGTGCACAATTTTTCACGAGGCAACTGCCGCCTGACCTCTTCGATCCTCGGGGAAATCATGGTTTCCTAGTAAGATGTTATCATTGTACAAGTTGTAGATATGTCTGGACCAGATATAAGGTCCCTGAGCCGACTGTGTCCACATGTACGGGGAGATGTGGGAAACTTGTCGCGGTCGAGGTCACAGGATGTACTTAATTTAATTGATTGCTCTTTTTATAGCTTCGACGTGGTATGGGATGACCGTGACTCAGCTTTTGGGGAACTAAAGGATTACAAGCTACTCTACTTCCTGCAAGATGATACTATTGCCGTAAAGGTGAGTACCTACGTTTATAATACCTAGGTGTTCTCTTAGTATTCATGACGCAACAAAAAATGAACGATATTCGTTATTTAATGTTTATTGCTTATGAAATAAGATCCTAATGCCACTATGGACGTCATTCCGATCCAAATATAGTCTAATAACAACAGCAATATATTTCGGTACAATAATAATTTGTACTAAAATAGCACAAGTTTAATAGTTGGGATGGGGTGGATTAAAATAGTTAAACCCATTTGAGTGTACCCCATACTAGGAACTGGATTTTCCATTCCGAACAAAGTTTGAAAAGCTCTCTATGTATATATGTATATACTTTCATGTATACTATTCCTTCAGTTTGTTATATCAGTACCTACATTATGTTAATAATATAGCTTACAGACTATCAAAGACATGCTTAAAATGAAATGTTAAGATGAAAGCAATTTTGACCTTTTCATTTTAAGGGCCTAAGCCTGAGATTGCATGAAAATAGGAATATCGCAAAAGCTTTTCTCTTATCACTTAAGTGCTGCTATAGTAAAATCTTAAACTTTAAAGTGCTCCAAAGGCTGCAAGGCGATGCTGTGTATACCTTCAATATCCCAAAGCTATGAATCCTGGATAAAAAGACGCCGCTATATTCCAATAACTTTGTTTGACCCAAAAATAAATATTAAAAAGGAGAACGTTTGAAATTAATTTACCCTAGATTAATTAATAAAGCAATAAATACCATCGCAGTCTTTATATAACTCGCTGAACAAAGGCGAGCCATAAAAGCATTCAATAAGCGCGGGTAAATTTAGGGTTTAATTTAAAAACAAGCGAGGGCCTTGGAAAATCAGAGCAATGAATATTTATGTGGGCCCTGCCAGGACGCACTCCAATTACGAACGCTCAATAAAAATTCCTCAGCGTCCGCATAGACGACGTGTGGGCACTTATCCCGGTACTATACCTCATTAGTAATTAATGCTTCATTAGTTATATCACCCTCGACCATTGCCAAGCTAAATCGTCCCGGGATTATATTTCCACATGTTACTTACAAGATATGAAGCACTCTTTTTGGGATTTTCATGCTCCATTATGTAGTTTTCACATGTGGATATAACGTTTTTAACCGACTTCCCAAAAAGGATGAGGTTATTATTATCATGTAACTATTCTTTTGTGATAAAAAATGTGTACAGTTGTTTTATTAGGTACACATTTTTACAGAAGATTATGTAATCTTCCTCCACTAAATTTTATCTATCTTCACTCAGGAAATCCACGACGGGAAGGGCGGAAAAGATCCTTTCCCGATGCTTCTAAAGAAAACAAAGCTGCCTAAGAAGTGGAAGGAGAAACCCGGTAGAAGTTTATTCTAAACACTATATTGTAGTACTGAGGCCGGGTAGACGCGAGCCCTCAACTTGTGCCTTATTGCTAAATAATGTAGCAGTAACTATTCGTAAGTGGTAAGTGATCAAACACAGATCGTAACTCAGCTCACTGCCCCAACTCGAGTGAGGACAAAAACCTTTAATGGTCTTTCAATGGTGCTTGTTAGGTTGACGAAAATGCCGATAAAAAGTGGATGTGGTAATAATATGTGCCCGGCCCGGGTGTGCGCCTGTGCGCTAACATAGCTATATCGAATTCCGTCTCTGTAATGACTCAATCAGAATGACTGAGAAATGACGTCTTTTTATTATGATTGTGGATAAAAATAAATAAATATCAGTAAGGATCCAAATTATTCAAGATAAAGATTCATCATGAATGTTATTAACATGGTGTTATTGGCGTACATTTTTAATGGAGCCCTGGGAAGTTTAGGCTAGTATTAATTTTATAAAGCAACAGGAATTTACAGTAATATAACACACATAGCGAGAAAATATCTTATAATAATGTAGAATGAATAATTTACGGCAGAATATATATTATTCAAATAGATCGATGGGGTTTAAATACTGAATATTTGATAATAGAGGACGATTTATGATAAAACGTTTTCCATTTTGCAACAAGATTCGTTTCCGCGTTTTTAACATCACAAATAGCATTCCAATGTTCCATTGTGCCGGGGCAACGCGGCCGGGCGCTCGGGCTTGCTAAATCCCTACAGGCATTTAGCTTAAACCGTTTGTCTTCTGCAGTTAACAAACAAAATAATAGTTATTCTTCATTTAGGAATTCGTTTTGTGAGAAGGTAGGTCATAGGAACTAATGGTTTTAGTTTCTTCTAAAATATCTTATACTTACAATAACTATTACATCACTTTTCAAGTATAATATAGAAAAAAACAAGCTTTGATTTGCTATTTACATGATAAATGTGTGTCACCACCTTTGTTTCATAATCAGGATTGTACTATGCAATCAGTTTAGAATATTGATCCAATAAAGAAAAAATGACTTTAAACTGATACCTGTAAACACAATAAAGTAACCACGATTACACATCATGTAGTTAATTATAAAACTAGATTGAGTTAAACGTAATTAGCGAGCTAACAAACAGGGATACCTCTCTTTATATTAATAGCTTTTAAGGAGATTAAGCTATGAAAGTTTGAGAAGTTACCAAGCCTCGAGTTCTACTTCTTTGCCGGGAGATTATGAATTATTGCAGACTAGCAAAGGCCGTCTGAGAAGCCTTTGTAATTTGTTGTTTGTTTTCTCAGAATTTAATTAATGAATACGGTAACCGATATACTTGGTGAGCCATGGATAGAGCCTCTTTTTAGCTTTGCTTTGTAAGATAATGCGATCCGTTTGATATTAAATGTTAAGTAAAACGCTGCAGTCTATGATATATTCTGACTTTGATTTGAACTCTGTCTTAATTGGACAAAGTTGCATTGTATAGCGACATGATATTACTACATTGTGTGATGATGATATGTAAGTGCGTATGAAGTTTCCACAATATTCTCATCTATAGTGAGTTCATGTATATGACCGGTCTATAAATCTGTGATTAAATAGAAGTGTATTACCCTATAGAGTTATTACCAGTAGCCTTGGCCTTTCAGTGAAGCCTTGATAGATACGTCAGGAAATTTGACAGTATGAGACGGCCAGTATTGGCAAAACGTGACGTGGACGACCTACATACTGAAGACAGGTAGAAAAATATTAAATGATTGCCATTGTGTTATTAAACTAGTCTGAACTAGGTACCTACAATAACATTAGTAAAGTGTATGCATGGACTTAAATAATTATAATAATTATGTACTGATAAAAATAACTGCAATAAGTACCAAATACTTATACCTGACCTAAAAATTGTAGTAACTGTGGATTTCCCACCTTACGGTCAATAAAAGAGAGCAATAGCGTAAGTAAAATGTATTGGAGCGTAATTGAATCTATAATAAAGTCACCTCGACCCATATCCCAGGTATTCAAACAAACTTTGTAAATACAGGCTGTTATATTGCCGCTGTTTCTACAGCAGGGACTTAATCGAATGTCAGTCGGTGATGAATGCTTCTGACTCAATATATTCTATTGGTAGTTCCGTCGTTTTTCATTGGAGCAATACCGTCCCATGTGGCAGGACGACAGCTCCTACCTAGCCGCTTTAGGTCACAGATTTATGAACGTATGGCTTTCCTCGCAATTTGCCTTTATTGCTTGAAACTAGTGATGTATTTTACCAGTAAGTACGGAGTGCAGTCATGGATTAAATTTATTATACCGAACAAAGGTACTGAATGTAATACATTCATTTCTAAGGTAACCTTCCGCCCCCAAACATAAACCTTCGGCATTAAAAGGTCAATGGTGAAATGCCAAATGGATATTCGACAGAATGGTGATTGCATTAGTTAAAAAAAAGTATCTATTTTTAGACATAATGATATTACTTCCTACTCAATTTTGAACTTTGGTTAAAAATAGTGAATATTAACGATATCACGTTCGTCCACAAACTATCGTGAACCTTATTAACCCGTAACTTTCTTAATACAAATTTATTAGCTACGTGTGCTTTCTCCCGCTAAATAACTGCAGGGTAGGCTAGGGATAATAAAAGGCTGTAAAACGAGGGAAGAACGATACATAGGTGTGGTATTAGTACGAACTACGACATATTCTGTGCTGCGTCAGTACCTAATATAAAAAAAGTTCAATTATAATTTTTTGATACATTGCATCCCACAATGATTTCAAGTTTCCACAATGATTTTCACTTTCAAGTTTATTAAACGATAAAGCTCATAATCTTTCCATGAAATTCAAGCAAGATTTCAGAAGGAATCTTCCAATTTCCGTTTGGCGATTTCTCTTCCAGCTAGTTTTATCCCTTAAATATATAAATTGAAGAGTGTAAGGTAAAAATGATTTGTATAATCCAATATCGAATATCGATGTAGCCATTCAACGTCTTTATGACGACGAAGGTCACAGGTACACCCGACCCTCCTCAATGCCGAATGCTTGTATGAATGTTAACCTTTGCGATTAGGGTATAGCTGTTATTCATAATATTCATACTGGCCTAGGTGACATACACGCAGCAAAATGTTAAATGTTTTTCTTAGTCAGCTCGTGCGATATGGATTTTGAAAGGCGCTGTTTGGAGGACCTATCTCACTTCCATATGTGGTCCAAATTTACTCCTTCTTTACAATACCTGACGTACCTTTGTGAGTTGACCAGTAGATTGTAGATGGGTACTAGATAAATAAAAAGTGAGATTTCTTGTTCGAGTATCCCATAAAGGGAGTCCAGGCCTTTATGAAAGTTATCTTTAACTTGAATGTGGTGTAGAGTCGTTTTATTTATGGTTTTCAGGATAACTATAATCATAATGGTTACATAAGTTCTTCTAGCAGTAGCTATATGGAACTGGGGATTTTACATAATCTATAAAGGTGTTATTGTTCAGCTACCAATATAGTCTATGTACAATTTTGAAGACCAATAACATTTGTTGATAGCATTGACCAACACAATAAAAATTTATTACACTCCACAGTTGCATTCCCATCCACGGTGCTGGAGACGACGGAAGAGGAGGTGACTACGGAGTACTACGCTCCCCAGGATCTGATCGTTGGAAGCACAGTCTTCATACTCGGAAGACGGTTCCTGATATGTAATTGCGATGCCTTTACCAGGAAATACTTCAGGTGAGCAAGGCAAATAGATATTTGGTATTATGAATACTTAGAATTGTTATGTGATGGTTCAGGAATACGGCAATAGGCTTACCCCCTATTACATGGGACTCGTAACATAAAAAGTGAAGAGTGGGTGTTACATTGTACAGTGGTATTAAGTGTCGTAATGTGCACCTCTGCCTACCCTTTCGGGGTTAAAGGCGTGATGTTACGTTATGATTCAGGAATCTTCTTGTCCGAAGGATTATATCTATTAGAAACTGCGCAATCAAATGTTTCTTTCTTTAGACATATTTGTCGAGACATATCTCGTAGGCCGAATGGTCGCAAGTGCGACTACCGGGCAAGGGGTCTCGGGTTCGATTCCCGGGTCGGGCAAAGTATTACTGTGGTTTTTTGAAAATTTTCAGTAAGTAACACGGAGTTTGGAATTATGTCCGGTATATGGCAATAGGCTCACCCCCTATTACATGGGGCTCCATGTAATAGGGGGTGAGCCTATTGCCATTATGAGCCCATAACATAAATAGTGAAAAGTGGGTGTTACATTGTACAGTGGCATAATGTGCACCTCTGCCTCCCCTCGGGGCTAAAAGGCGTGATGTTATGTCTATGTTGTGGAGAAACATGCATAATTAGGACATTCAAACAAATCTCATATCATTATGTAGCGTCACGTCGCAAAACAATATACTGGTTCAAAATTCATACGTAATTATCACTTTAGAAATTAAGAAAAATATCTATATTGTATGGTAGTCAACAGCCCCATTCAAGGGAACAATAAACATATATTGATCAAAGTTATGATTCGTAAAAATATTAAGCATTACATACGAGATCAAGTTAGTCCATAAAACCTATAACTGTTTCATTATCAATTTTATTGTGTTTCCCATTCATATTAAGCCATATGTGGGACGTTTGTTAACCCACATTTGATACTTTAACATGAACTATGTAAATTGTTTTCGTACAAAATACAAATAACTAAGTTTTTATTTTAAAAAATAATTTTAAGTCTGTATGTTGCTAAAATCTACGGAACTACTGAATTGATTGGAATGAAACTTTGAAAAATAAACAAGTAATAAGTACATAGATAGATGTAGCTTCTAAATAAAAAACAAGTAAAAATAATATAAGAAATATGCTTAGCTAAACGATACCAAAGAAATATAAGAAAAAGGAAATATCAAATGCGGTATACATAATAATATGGAGTATTTGCTGATATTGTGGTTGTTAGTAAGATGGTTTCCTTTACATATTCGTTAGTTGTGTCCCCGCGGCTTGTTGACCACAAGGCTATTTGTCTCCGTCCGTCGTAGCCCTCTGTTTACTCGGCTGCACGGGAAATATGGCCGCCACACTACAAAGGGACTGCAATCCCTCGACACGAGCCAAGAAAATATTATTAATTCATCTTTTTTACGAAATGGCCTTCGTTCAACAAAGATTTTCTGTCTTGTTTTGTTTCTTTTGTCGAAATATCACGCATCAATGTTCTGGCAGGCAATATAGATATTCAATTTTATGTTAACTGCATTCTAGGTTGGTTTTTCCATGTTTCAATCAGTTTTATCGTCTTTAAATGTCATCTTTTATGTCGGATTTCTATAGCGTTCTCTACATGACTTTAGCACAGAGAATAACATAATATGCAGTTGTTTTATTATATTTTCGTCAATATAACTGCAAGACCACAAACGATGAAATAAAGTCTGGATTAAGCATTAATAGACATTAGATAGCAAAATACTCAAATATGAACCTGGAATGATGCCTGCAGAATGGCGAAAAGGATCGCCTTCTGTTACCTATAACCTAAGGCTAAGTCGTGTAACGTAGGTAAGTGGTAATAGTAGATACATTTGTACTGATAGGTACAAGGTGCAGTAGGTTTACTATAGTACCATTATTACCCTCTTACCCTTTCCAAGATAACAATCGTAATGTTATGCTATGGTTCTACGATAAAAACAGTCTATCTTTACACAAAACGTAGAAAGCATATTTGATCAAAGGGTACTTTTATCGCAAATACCTACACGATTTCATTTGCACTTTCCCAAGTGCCTGGGGGTTGGATAGCAAAGCTTGAACTAGGTGCTAAAATATCCATTATTTACAATCGCTCATTCAAAGGGTTAACAGACTATTTCCTTCACTGGCGAGTTTTTGTAGCAAACGGCGTTTACCTCATTTCCATGTTTACATTTGCCAAAAGAAAATTAAAAGTAAAGTTGCTTCCCGTTTCCTGGCGGCTCTTTTGCACGTTTTTTTCTTTTTCTCTTTAATGTTAATTACGTCAAAAACTCGGTCGTCTCGAGATTAATATAAATGCAAGACGACCTCGTGTTCAGCTGGACTCGCTTAGTGGAATTAATAGTATTTTGAAAGGACTTGTGGCGGATTTTCTATTAAGAGCTTTCTAAGCGGGTTGATTGCGGTTTAGTGTACGGTATAGGTAATCAACAGTTCTACTCTTTCCTTTGAAATTGAACACTATTTAGGAACAGACTATCGAATAAGCCAATGCATTGAGAAAAAGGTATACGAGCTTGATAAAATTAACCAATACAGCTATGAGTGTTTAATGAAAACTGGTCATATATTAAAATGATGTTTAAAAATTCAATCTTTTTAGACTCAACTCATATGTGTCTATTAATTACAACCTGTTTGTTTATTACTTACTCAAAATAAATCAATCAGTAAGATAATCTAACTAAAAAAACGATGGAAGTAAAATATCTCTTCAATGTCACAACAAGGTCATTGAGGCAGTTTATATCATGTTTATTGTGATAATTTATCAATATTTGTCCTTCCCTTCCAAGCGCCATTAAGTAAGCTATTTCCTACACTAGATTGGCATTGGTTGCGCGACAAGATAAGAAATTGGAACATTTTTTTCTTTCGCCTCGCTACAAGTGCTGAGCTGTTAACCCTTCCCTTTAGGACGACATTTGTGTTTTCCGTGGGACAAAAAACAGCTGATACGTTCAATATTTCACTTTCACTTATATCTTCTTTGTAGTTTCAGTAGTAAGAAGTGTTGAATTAAAAGGATTTATTTGCCAACTCCCAAGTGCCGCAAGGCACAAATATAGGCAAAAGGGTTTTCGACTTTACTCTAACAAAAATATAAGGTTTGTTCGAATTTTGATAGTCATGTTTGCAAAAAGAATAAGTTTTTATATGGCTAAAACCTCCTTAAAGGATTCCAGTTATGTAAATGACATCCTCTTACCTGACAATAAGTACAATTCACAGGTTAACCCAACACTTGTCCAGATTACAGTCCCTGTTACCTGCAGTTTACAATAACCTGCCTGAATGAACATGTAGGGAATACGCATTTATTTCAAGTGCGTGCATTTGTTTAAAGAAATGGTGTTATAAGAAATTCTCCTAACTGATAAATGACAGATGAGTGGTGTTGACACTCCACATTACAATAATCCTCGGCCATTCATTTATTCTATTTTGTATCTGACAGTGAGTGATAGCAGTGCAGTATAAGCTCTTGACAAAATATTATGGAAATGAACCAAACTCCTAGATATTACGCAATCCTCCTAAATCCTAAATCATGAACAACGTTGAGTTGCACATTTTTTACGATGTTTACCTGACTTATTCATTAACTTCTATGTGGATCCATAATTGAATTTTATTCGAAAGCTAAGATAAAGTCAGCAATCCGTAGAGCTGTCAGAAGGTCGTAACAATCTACTAAAGCAATGAATGTCAGACTAGAGTTTATCACAAGAACTTGTGTCAACTAGATCATAGGTGTACCTAAGTGGCATATCATCGTGTGCTCAAAGATAAATCCTGACATTAAGTGTGATGTGAAGCGAGGCGGCCCAAGTTGCCGTGAATAGAGCCACGATGATGTTCTCTCTGCGGTTAATTAGTGGCATTTGTCTTAATGGCGACATAATAGTACGCCACTATTACGCTATAATTACACTGTTCTACTACACTACCATTAATAATATATTGTCTATTTTCTGACGATAGTTTCCTGTATTGATTTAGTTGTTTAGGGCAATTGCATTTATAATAATCTCAGTATCTATTTTATAGATTCAGTCAAAATATGGTGTGACCTCTACCAAGCTCTGAGAATTTTATGAGTCAATTATATTTTAAAGTGTGCGACAGACATGATTAAACGTTTTTAAGCGAATAGACATTGAGGTTGAAACTAAATGAGCTCTAAAGTTGACGATTTTCATGATAATTGCTTCTAACAAACCTCTTGGCAGTCTACGTATATTTTACTATATATTTACCTATAAATGTGCCTATCTACCTAGGTACATAGGTACTGCGTAATAAGCGAGTGGTTTAGTGAAGACTTAATAATGCACTTGGGGAGCTTACGAGGTAATTATTATTTATTGAACTTGATTAATATGCTACAAACCATTTTAAACCATAAATATATTAATAAATATGGTCTACATTGAAATATATTTTAATGATTAAATCTTACCTAATAGGCATGTATTTTATTTATGAGTATATGTTTATCTATATTCAGTAATTTAATATTAATAGAGTATTCGCTGTAAAATTATTTGACGACGAAAGTTCATAGAAAATGTCCAATGTATTTTTTACTAGGCTTTTCCCTGATACAAAGATAACCTTTACAAAGAAGGCAAATCAACGTAATGTATAAAATAGATGTACTCTTTGTAATATACTAAGGCCAATGAGTTACTGCTGGTAATAATATTTCCACGCCAAAGTACCGCCCGAGATTTGTGCGCGTAACCGAATTAGTTGGATTGATCGCTATATGTGTATTTATATATATTATATTTTGTTGTTTTGTATTTCTTGTGGCATAGCTTAATGTAGAAGACTCAATACGTATACAATGGACGTAAGCACTTATTAGGTTTTACTTGGAAATGGTCTTTCTAAATCAGACTAACATAATATAACATAACATCACGCCTTTTATCCCCGAAGGGGTAGGCAGAGGTGCACATTATGCCACTGTACAATATAACACCCACTTTTCACTATTTATGTTATGAGTCCCATGTAATAGGGGGTAAGCCTATTGCCATATACCGGGCACAATTCCAGACTCCGTGCTACTACTGAGAATTTTTAAGAACCCCAGTAATACTTTGCCCGACCCGGGAATCGAACCCGAGACGACCCCTTGCCCGGCAGTCGCACTTGCGACCACTCGGCCAACGAGGCAGTCTATAAATCAGACTAAATACGTAATATCTAAAATAATGTACACACCCTTACTACAAATTAATAATATCGTTAGTTACAAAGAGAAATATAAGTTTTTAAGAGTTATAAGAAACAAAATAGAATAATTTACTCATCTACATATTTTTACAAGCATCAAAGACATTCCAAAAGCAACCTTAATTACTGCGCTTTGATTAAAAATGCTCACATAGGTACTTACCTACATTTTAATCTAATATTCAAAGGAATCCCTTTCTAATTAAACACGAAAGCACACTTTTAATCCGTTTCATACGAGCGGAATGTGCTTCAGTCTACCCAAAGACAGTGAAAATAATAAAAAAGTACAACAATGCAGAGAAAGGAATATGGGATTCAGTTTATACCAGAGCTGGATTAAACCGCGAGAGCGCCCTAGCCAAGCACGTCATAGGCGCCCCTAATTTTTTGGCGCCGGCGCCATTTTATGCTCAGTTGGGCACGCACGTTTCACAGCGCCCTTCTGTAACCTAGCGCCCAGGCACTTGCCTAATTTTCTCTGAGGATAATACGGCTCTGGTTAATATACTCACGTCCCGTATGAATTTTACAGCAAGATTAAAAGTTCGAACGTTGTCAAAGAGAAATTATTGAAAATAAAAGACCGACTGCTTTGTGCTAGGAATACGAAGAATTTAATTTGCTTTGATTCGTAGAACAGGGAAGTATTTATAAGTATTATGAGTCATAACAAGCATAGGTACGTACTTAAAAAAATTATTAATTGCACATTTTTTCAAGGTTATGTGAATAAGTATGTGAGTCTCCTCTGTGTTTATGATAAACCATTTATAAACGTACCATTATTTACACAGTATATAAAAAGGGAATTTTAATTAATATGTTTGTCTGTTTTATATTTTAATACAATATCTACCATTTAAGAAAAAGACGGCAATAGAGACCACCATTTTTTATCACTCTTTTATTTGTATTTCGGTCTGTTTGAAGGCATGAGTACCTCAATATTTTGTAATAGTAAGTTTAGATTGTGAATTATTAGATGAGTTGATATTTGTTGATCGCTGTGTGATATATTTACTATTGTACTCATTATTTACAGTACTATGCTGAACATACAACAACCGGAGGCGGTAAAAGTTCAAAAAGAAGCAAAGAAGGAGTTCCCCAAGGTGAGATTATTTCTATGCTATACTAAGATGTCGCGGAGAACCTAACGGGTAACTGGGGCTCCGGCTCGACGTGCAGGAGAAGGAACGGGGTGGTTTTTAGTCAGTAAGAGTCGGACACTCCCTCCCGCCTCACCCAGGCGGGAGCAGTCACTCGATGATTTTCACCCCTTCAAAAATGCTATACTAAGATAACTATACCTACCTATACTGACCAACATCATCAGTTTTAAAAATAATAAATTAGCAAAAATTTTAGAAAATATCTGGTTTTAACATTAAGAACTCCATGTAGACAGATAAATTGATATTTTTTTACATAACAAAAACGCCATTGTCGTATTATTTTTTTATTCTACATATAAATAAAATGATGAATGAAATACAAAAATAATAGAAGTTGCTGAATAATGTTTTATTTATCTGTTGGACAGTCGATTCCACCTCACATTGGTATTGGCTCTCCCGAGGACACTCTGCAATCCTGCTACGGCCTCATTCCGAAGCCCCCGCACAAAGACATCATCAAATACAACCTCAACGCTAATAAGGTAATCTATATACAATAAGGACGATCTCTACTTACATAAAGTATTACATAAATTATTCCTGAGTTACATCGGTATCGTAGTGTACATATATATATTTACGCCAAGGGTTACTCACCTATGTAGATATATTAATATAGCTAGCGATCATTCATCAAGTTAATTTTCACAAAGATCATACATTTTCTGCGGATTAAAACTACCTCTCAGTCTAAAATTATCTATATCACTCAAATGAAGTATTTGCCATTAAAGGTATATACTATTTTGGCCAAGTTTCTGATATTTAGGCACTGTTACCTGTTACCTACATCATGATCACGTTTGAACTGGTTAAGTTTGAAAACATAGCTAGAATACCGGCGCTGCGGGCAACAGTCAAGGTTATAGAACTCAGCCTCGAAGCAGGGGTTGCGTCAAAGAGTCTGACGCTCCCTCTCGTCTCACCCAGAAGAACCATCTAGATAGCCTCTTGTCTATTGAAAGTTGCGGCCATAATGTGTTTATACCGGGAGCCGGTGTTTCAACAGACAAGAGGTTATTTTACTCCCCTCAAAATAAGCTTATCTAGAATGTTAGCCGGTCTTCAGCAATAGGTACGCTTCCCCTATTTTACTGAAATGAGATTTGTGACAATGACAACGATGACAAATGAGGATACCTTTGTCATCCTACAGGTTTAAATACTAATGCGACAAGCTCTGACATAAAATGATTTCAATAGAAGCACTAATTAGCCATCATTATACTTGCTAATTGACATAGATCTATTGTCTAATCTGCAGATAATAATTAATGTAAGTAATCTAATTAGAGCGGGATTGGATTGCAACGTGAATTACAATGGAATAATGCTGAATGGATTTATTTGAATGTTCTTATGAAGGCTTAAGTACCCATTGTATATGTAGTTTAGGTAATAGATAAATATTACTTACTCGAAATTCTTAAGTTTAGAAATATGAATGTTTACTCAATTTCGAGTAAATATCCGAATGGATTTGGCAAAAATATTTCGCAGAGATGGATTGCTACAACTTTGAATGTGTCGTATGTTATACATGGATACTTTAAGGTAGGTTAAAATAATTAAAACTACGCCTCAATGGAAGGTTTCGTTTGGTGTTCTTATGTTCTTCAATAGAACTAAATGACAAATACTTCTTCACATACCTACATAGGTAACTATTTTCCTACAGTTTACCTACATAGAACAAAGCAAAAAAGATAACATACGCTCGTAGTTATTTCAATTTCTGGCAAATCATTGTCGTTTAATTGTTTTGTAACAAGACATGCATTAAATAAAACTACATAAACACAACGTTATAAAAGGAAAATTATGTTCGTTTAGCTGTAGGTACTGAGCCTTGAAATTATTAAGCTGATAATAATTACTGCCTTCACCATTTGGTATTTAAATGAAGACATAAGGGCGAAATATATTACAAAATACTTAAATAAAATATGCAATCAACGTCATCGCCACTGGTTCTTTGACGTCATTATTTATTGAACAATGAGATCAACTATCTCTGTTTGCCCTTCAAGTTATCCACAATGACCTATAAATTTTCATATTTCTGTATCGATCTATCTGTGTACCAAAATGGAATAAAATCTGTCCAGCCGTTTATGTGTGCAAACATTAAAAACCAACTCTCATTCACATTATCAAAAATTTTAGTTTATTACAAGATATGTTTAAAAAAAACTAGTTGATGGGTTGATTGACATGATATTACAATACAATAACAGTACAGTACAATCTCGCTTAGCTCTTATTATCGGTACATTTAAATTTAAATCTGGTCGCTTCAGAAAGCATCAAACATCAAGAAAACTTCACCTAAAACTTGAATTGACTGCACAATACTTTGGAAATGTTTGTGAATGTATTTCTATCGGACGTCAATAATTCTTTGATGTTCAAAGTTTCCAAGTTGTCGACTCAATTAAAGTTGTAGCACTGACGAAAGAATTGAGCAGCGAACTCCAAGCGCGCGATCTGCCAGATTCAGATAGTTACGTAAACAGTTCGTACTAGCGGTGCACTTTACTTACATTCATATTTTATGATAAAGGAGTCTACGTAAGTATGTACGCATTTTACTTTTATATCGTAATAAATTTTAAAGTAAAATGTAGTTTTTCGGGGTTAGTATTGTATTCAATTGTGTTAGGTTGGCCCGAAAGTTTAAGACGCCCGCTTCTCATGCATGAGGGTGCGGGTTCAAAACCTACCAACGGCAAGTACTAATGTGACTTTTTCCGAGTAAATGTACTTTCTAAGATTATTCAGACACCACTGACAAACGGTGAAGGAAAACATTGTGAGGAACCTGGGCTTATAATTTCTAATTGTAATTTTGAAATCGCCAACTCGCATTGTGCAAGCGTGGTGATTTATGCTCAAACCTTCTCTCCGTGTGGGAAGAGGCTTTGCTCAGTAGTGGGCATTATATTATATTATATGATGACGATGATGATGATGATTATATTCAAACAGTATATTTTTCTTAACACCATAACGGATCTTAATGGAAGCTACATTTGTCAGATACACGGAATTATCCTATGTTTCATACCTACGCGGTTTTGTATGTGCTGCATTGTCAACGACGCGACGCTTTGGTTTTACAATCAATAACCTTTTTTGTTTTTGTTAACAGTACCTCCGTTATCTATGCGAGTTGGACTGGATACATCCAGAAGACACTGGTAGAAAATTTGTGATGTCATACAGCCTCGCAGATGGCTCTATCAAGATTGGTGAGATTCCTAGAAGGAACTCGGGGATTCGGGAGGGACAGTTCCTAAAATCGATGAAACTGGAGACACCTGAATCAGACCATAACTTTCCAACGTACTTTACACCTGAAAGATTCTACATAGGTTAGTATAACATGTATGAGAACTTATTAAATTTTAATACTGGCGAATTTTTAACCTACTAGCAGTTATTTTTCAATCTTTTCGTGGTTCTAGGAGCTACAGTGCCGGTATTCAAACACCGTTTCCGCATAATCGGTTGCGATCTGTTCGTGTACCGATACATGACTGCCAATCCTGAGAAGTTCCCGCAGGAAGTGATCGACAATGTACGCAATTACCACATGCGCGAGGGCAACTTGAAGGATGAACTTACGGTAAATATGAAATTTGATACAATCTGGCTATCTACCTTATGTAGGTACACCTGAAATTAAACTAAGATCAATTGCAACAAAAATTTGGGTACCTATAATGAATTCATTTACGTTACAAAACTTAGAAATCTGTCAAATCTAGATACTATATTACGTACCTAAAGCTTTTCCAATTTTTTGCCTACATTTAACAACCTTAATAATATTGAGGATTAAGATAGACTTTCGTGACACACTAAATAAATTATTATATTTTCCGCTTACTCATGTAACTGTTTGACGAGGAACTCGACATGCCAAGACACATAGCAATAAAAAAAAGCCATGCTAGAGGCTCATATAGTCATATTCATGAGCAGCATTCCACGACCCGCGGTGCGGCGACTGTCGTGGGACAGTCATCCCAAAAACAAAATAATTAATTAACAAAGACGTTTATTTCTAAATTTAGATGGCTTTCCGCGAAGAACAGACGGCAGAAACTCGTGCGCAACTCGCGAAGATTGGCTCAGCGGCAGTTGCGGAACCGAGCGCAATGGAGCGTTGTCTAGCCGCGCTGGACGTGGTGGAGGGCAGCGCTACTCCGCCGCGACCTCCCACTCCTCCCATGACAACAGACCGCATCTCTTACGATGACTCGCTGCGTGTCACACGACAGAGGTACGACATGGCATTTCCAACTAAATTAAGTAACACGACGTTTTACACTCCCCGAAGTAATAGGCAGAGATACCTTTAATATATAATAGATTTCCATACACTCTCGACACAATATCAAACTCTGTAGCTTAGGCACAAAGAGATTCCAAAATTTAAGAACAAAAATTGTAAGGTACCTTTTAATTGGGTACAGAGAATAAGCCTCTTAATCGGTGCGCGTTTATGACTATTCGATCAACGAAACAGGTTTAGGCTATGAATATTAATAAATGTCGTATAACTTCATTCATCCTTGAAGGTTTCCTTTCTATTCAAAATAAAAATAAAACAAGTTGGTAAACCAAAAAATGTTGCAAAAAATTCCCAAGTGAGTTATTATTTTGCTGAAATATGACAAACTATACAATGTGATCTTAAGGTCGACTTTAGAATGATTACCTTCTTGTCATTGAGCATTTCTGTCTTTAGAAACCATTTTTATTAAAAGTCATTGTCCTTTTGACCGACCGCCCCTAAAAACCGTTTAATAACTCCTAAAGGCAATTAAAATAAAGATGTCTATAAAAAAATAAACAATTGAAATCGGATACAATTAAACATCTGAGGAGAGGTGTAGGTACTCTCATTCAATACTGGATTATTTATAAACCGATTGAGGTCCTCGAAATAAGGAAAAAAGTCTACATTTTGCTTCACACAACATTCAATCATTCATCCATTGTTAAGGAAATGTTAATAAGTACATTTAACGATTCATTATAAAACTTAAGCCGTTACAATACGTATTTTCGTACCTACAAGTCAAGTGAAACAACTTTATAAGCACCTATTTTAGAGAAAGAAATTGTTTGACTTCAAAGTTATATGGTTGAATAGACTGCGTTTTTTTTTTGAGGTGAGAATGTCGTGTGACTTCCCCTGCCTCATATAGATGAGACGAGAGTAAGAACTAAAAACGGGGTGGATTTTAGTTCCTCCTTCGGCTCTTCGAACCGGAGCCTCAGCAACCCGTTAAGTCATTCGCGGCTCCGTGACTGTGTGATGGTCTACTAATTTAATTCCTGTATAATCTTCAATGCATATTCTAGCATATAAGTACTTAAAGACTCTACGAAAGAAAAAAACTTAAATGCAACTTAAGAAGAAGTGAAATGATTAGAAAATGCCCACTCCCGCATAATTTTATCTGCGAACATTGCAGAAAAGTTTTTGTATGCGTTATCTCAATCTAAACCATCATAAATCTTAGTTTAGAATCATAGTTGTAGGTATGCACGGTGGAGATTTTGTCGATGAAATATTGGCACATTGAGTATGATCAGTCAGATCTATTTAGGGATAGCGAGTAGATATGACCTTTATAAAAAGATTTAAAACCTATATCGCATAGGGTTAAAAAGGATATTTATAAACTTATTAAACTTAATACCTAACATTCATACTTCTGAAAATAAAAATTCACCAGTTGAGGATTCTTCGCAATTTATGCAATGTATTTTTAATATACATTTTTGGTTTATAACTTATATTTTTGGTCTGCGAAATATCCACCTAATTCTAATTCATTCTTGTACAGCAAACCGACATGCGAGAACATAACGCCACTCAAAGGCATTCTGAAGTCGGGAGCAGCTCGGGACGACCACCAGAAGGTGGTGTGCTTCAGTGGCCCCTCTGCAGACGAGCACAGGGAGGCTAGGCAGCAGAGAGTAACTTACCCACCGGGACAACAGCCTCATTATAACGAAGACGATGACTTCTGTGACCAGTTTAAGGATCCGGTAAATTACCTACATATTTCTTTATGATAGTTAATGGTATAATGTTCCATTTTTTGTCCAATTTTTCAATGGAAAGTAAAATCTAGTAGATTAGTCTAGTCGTCTTCGAGTCTGACATCTTCGAATTTAAATTCTTGACATCGGTCACCGGTTAATTGAATTTTTATGTCTGTTCAATTTCCCCTTGATTTTGACTCCGTAGTTTGAACTTTAAAACATGTACCGAGTTCGGACATATAAATCCTCGTTGATTTTAATGTCCGAACTCGATACATGTGCTCGTCCATACTTTTTAGAAAATTTGCGTACAAATGTGTTATTTTACATTTTTGTCATGTGACTCATCATAGAGAGATAAAAAGTAGTTGGGGGCTCCGGAGCAGGGTGCTTACTCTTGAAACCAATCTCAATGACAATGCAATTTCAATCCAATAAAAACTCAATAATTATTCAATGTCAAAACTAAGGGTTGTACCCCTTATCGTAGCTGTTAAAATGGCATTCAGAGTACATATAAAGCCAAACTCAATACCATTTACTTCTATATCGTAATACGGATGCAATTGGCGCTAGTGTTGCAACTCAAGAGTACCTACGATATTTCACAATAACAATGTCGATCGATGGGAATTGGATTCAGGAGTAAGCACCCAGGTCTCTTTCACCCTCAGGGAGAGCACTCAGTACCTCGGCACCCTTATAGGGTCTGAGGGTGGCCACCGGGATGGTTTTAGTGAGATACGAATCCCACACTCTCCTAGTCCTTTCGCTTCAAACAGCTAGGTGCCTTTTGAAGGTCGTGCCGGGTGCCGTCATCAAAAAAAAAGATAAAAAGTAGTTAGATATACAGACCGTTAACCGTAGACGATGGAAATGTGCTGTCATGCGTACGAATGCAATAATTACTTACCTACTGAGTGACGAGTATTTAGGTATTGAATAGCAAGGACATAGAGGCATTTTATAGGTATTCAACTACCTAGGAAATACAATATAGGTACCTAAGCACTTAATTATAGCAAGACTAACGATTGATAGAAATTGAAGAATCTAACCGTCGCGTTACGGAGAACCTAACGGGTAACCGGGGCTCCGGCTCGACGTGCAGGAGAAGGAACGGGGTGGTTTTTAGTCAGTAAGAGTCTGACACTCCCTTCCGCCTCACCCAGGCGGGAGCAGTCATTCGATGATTTTCCCCCCTTAAAAAAAAACCCAACTTGATTCAATAAAAATATTTACACGGATCGTTGCTATAAGGTAAAAACGGTGAAGTGATTGTACAATATAACACACAATATGCTAATAATGGAACCATCATCAGAAACTAAATTACTGGGACTTTTAAGCAAACTCTGAGTAATTTGAGTTAGTTGAATTTTAACCATAGGTAGCTACATAACATACCTAGAGCTACCAACTACAGAACATATAAAAGGGAGGTAAGTTCTACAATAATTATGTATGTATGTACCTATTCATCTATTTTGAATTTTCCTACAGGATGCAGCGGAGCGCGCTGACCGTCGTGCTAACGAGATATGTCCATATGAGATCGTGCCCAGCTCGCAGATCGCGAATGCCATCGGAGATGATAAAGTGGAGAAGCCGAGACTGCCTGGATACCTCGGCACTTATGGTGTCGACTGCAAAGAGGTAACACTAATTTCTTTTTGCTTAACCTATGCTTAACTTATGGTGGTTGGATTGGACGACCATTGTTGGTTTGCTATGCCCTTCATAAGACTTCTAGCAATTTTAATTCAGTTATAAAATTCTCATTGATTTTAATCAGTTTTTGCGCTGAGGTTTACCACTTCCACAAACAGTTTCATTTAAGGTTTATCGTTATGCCTCACAATAAAATTTTATACTGTCGATGTCGATACGTGGCACCGCGTTACCTGGGCAATAATGCTACTGCCTGAGAAACCTCCAGGTATCTTAAGAGAAGTCACGTCTGTGGTAACTTGGGAGCGTTCGTGTTACCTATAAAGTTATTATGCTTAAATCATTAAGTCCCGCATCGCTCCTAACCGATAGAATTAAGTATAATTTAGTAATATTAATTTGATATAATATAATATTACGGACCTACCTAACTACCCGTTATTTGATAAACAACCTTCGTCTGATATATCACGTAATAGCACTCTTGTACGGCTTCTACTCGATTATGCAATGATCAGGAAAACGATCAAATAATATGATAATTACTACGATAGGGCTCACGATGAGGTCTACCGCTCACGTGTCCGCCATTATATTTTATCGATCCTTTAGTTACCAAATTGTTTGGTCCATTGGTACTTTAGTATTATAATTTCAGCCAATGGCGATGCTGAATCGAAATATTATTTTACATTATAAAAAACAAGGTTGAACTCACAACCGGTATCAAATTGTAAGTCCGTTAGGTCACCTCGATAAGTCCACTTTCTTACAAGTTACTGATTTGTGATGATTGTACCAGGTGCCGGAATATATGAAGCTTGCTCCGGATGCTTATGAGCAAGTGAAGAAGTTGCGTAGAGATGTTCCTGTGATATCTCCGGCGGCGACGCGTCTGGCGGACTACCCGCGTCTGCCACCAGAGGCCGTCGACACCTGTGTCAACCCACCACCCGAAGATACCGGGCCCTGTGCCCCACGCAAGGAAGAAGACGTGGCCTTTGCCTGCGGACACGTAGAAGGCAAAAAGCCTTGCTGCGACCCCCTAGAAAGAAAGACTGACCCTACTGAAGTTATGCCCAAAATGTAGCCCCAACTTGCAACATGCATTAGACATTGATGTTCACATCATTTTTGTTATCACATTTAGAATTAGTAACTTGCACTTTTCTATTGTGAATCACTTAGATAATGCATTTATTTGAAAATGGAAATTAAGGTACCTACTAAAACATCTGCACTTATTTCTTTCAATTAGACTATTTAACGACTATACAATACGTTTGCAGCCGTATCATGACCATATTTTTGTATCCTTGTACACTGTTACTGAGCTTTTAAAATGCGGATAGGTAGGTACATTTAATTGTTATTCCAAACATCATGTAATTTTGAATAAAATTCAATTTAAATATTTTATAATTTGAGTTTTAATATTAATTCCATTATCTAAGCGGTTATTTTTCATTTTAGGTCGTAGTTATGTTTCAAGATTTGGAAAAATCTAAAAAGAGTAATTTAAAAAGTATTTGTACGAATTGAAGAATTAGAATTAATAAAACCAGTATGTGGAAAATATAAAATTTAATAGAATATCACTTAACTATTAACATTTTTACAATAATACACAAACAGGTAAGCTAGATATATTTTAAATTAAATACAAGTGTACGCTCACAAACACGTGCATAATAAAAACGAAAGAAAGGAATGTTACATTAAATAAATAACAAAAATATTTATATACAACGATATTTATATTCAACCATAAATTTATAAAAAGGTATGAGTTGGTATATGAAGTTGCAGAAAAACCAAGTCTATTACTGACAACTACGTATAGATAAATATTTCTTAAAAAAAATAACTGTAGATAACACAACCAGTTCAAGAACCAAAATACCATTTACTTGTTTTATCAAGTACACTATTCAATTTTTTTAATTTCGGTCTAGTGGACTACTGACGCAATATTATTTTAAGTAACCGATACCAAAATTCGGCTTAATATTATTAAAACTATAAATTGTGGTGTTTTGATCGTCGCAAAAACTCGTATTTTGAAGCCCCATTCGAGCAATCGCAAGGTTTTGCAAACTTTTATGTAACCGTTTGTTGTACCGACCTGACCTAATCAGAAAGTGCCTATCTGTTCTTACTGTTTTTCAAGAAAGTATTTAATTATATTTTGATATTATTCAGTTAACGGCAAAAATATCCATTTTCAATTACACATGGCAATTTCATTATGAGTTTCATTGAAGCGTTCGTTTTCTTTCTGCTGTTATTTTGTAAGTGTATTGAAATACAGGTATCGCAATCTTTACTTAGATAGTAATGTTCATTATTATTGCTTGAAAGATCGTTCATAGTTACAGTTTACTTGAAACTAAGTCTAGCAGTACTCGCCTTGCCTATTGGCTCACAGATTGCGAGAGCAAAATCGGCATAAAATGACCTTGTTGAATGAAAACATCATCAATTATTATGAAATGATTAGGCAGGTTATGTTAGAAGATATTGCACTAGCACTACACTTTACTGGACATTGGGATACAATAGGCCATGATACTGTGTCAATTAGAGGGAGAAGGGTCTGTCCCAATTACGCTTCAAGTGTCCATTTGCCCACTTCACCGCGAAGGTACACATTACGGCAATTCTTTTTGTGACCATGAGAACACCGTACATAAGAAAACAAGATAGATTACAATATATTATATTTTTGTCATTATCGTCTAATATTTGTATTGTCAACGAGAACAGAGATCTACATCCCTCAATAAAGTTTAGACTATGTCAGATATATTATCACAAGCACGATGATAGTCAAAGTGACGAACATGCCGCCAAACAAGACGTATTTGTCTTGAGACACCCTCCTCTCTATCAGAGATATAGTTGCGTTCGATAAACCTAGAGTATTGGCTAAGTCTATTAGTCTTCTATGAGCACCTTTTATTGTTTCACGGTTGTACTTTAGAGTCTCCAATATGTTTGAACCTGGAACAAATAAAAGAATTTTTAAGATTGCTTTGGTCGTTCACACAGTATTTAAAAAGCTTCCGGGTCATTATTTACCTGTAAGGAGCTATTGAATTAAAAATAAAATAAAATGGCCTATATTTTTTCTGTTATGTAGTAGGAACGACAGACATTCTTATAGAATAATACCAAAACAAAACCAGTTTAAGGTTGCCCTTGAATTAAATCTTAAGATGTCCTTGAACTTACACACGAAAAAAAAACATTTTAGGAGCGTTTTAATAATTTTCAAACATCGAATCGAAGAAAAATTCAGCACAAAGACATTTTGCATTCTATGATTTTTATGCAAAAAATTCAGAAGGTATGTGCGTAATTAAACGAACAATATTTAATTTAATAAACTAACATAATGAAGACATTGAATCTCCTAAGCAAGGCTGAGCTGATTATATAAAGGACAAGGTCCCATACTTAGCTCAATGCGAGTGAATCACCTTTCAACTAACTTGCAACTAATTCTATATATTATTTAACATTGATTGAGAATTCAGCTGGTTGTATAATGTTGTACAACTTGTACATCAACCGGAAAATGTGTCCGACTAAACCTAATTATAGCAAACCATTTTCCGTGCTCCAATGAACGATTTAATACTTAGATGGACCGGTGACTAAAGCTAGTTCATAGTTCAAGGTTCATATTATAATAAATGAAAAGTTTAAATAACATTAAACATTTAACTCATATTTTTATGTTTCCGAAACTCCTCGATATATTAAAATAAATGTACGTATGCATGTAGATATTGTGTTTATATATTTTATACGAATTAATGATGCGTGAAAATCCGAAGCCCTTCTCGTTTCTGTATCAAGTCGTACACGGGGAGGACAAGTCGACAGATAAACACGTGCACACACAAGCGCCTTCTGTGCTACAACTATAATTACAAGGTAATTAATCACATAACTAACTTGTTAAATACGAATTCAAGGTCGTCTCATTGTTAGAATATATATTTATTGCAATATTATTTTGATGTTTTAATCACACATTTTTATTTTATTTGAATTGCCGTCCAACATTTGAAGTGTCACTAACTTTTTTATTATATTTTAATTGTAAATAATTTCTCATCGCAGATACGAGCGGCGCCGAGCGGGTGAAGTAATCTCGATCTAGGCTGCTTATTCGAAAAACTTTGACTTCGTGTATTAAGTTTACCTTGATACGGAGCGGTCATGTTAGCTGGTACTCCTGTGTTATTTCCGATCTATAAGTGATACAAACAATATTCCTGTTTATGTGTGTGTTGTGAGAACTGTGTACAAAAATAATTCAAGATGTGGTAAGTGTTTTGCATAACTATGTTTAGAACTGCTTTCAATTGTCTTATTTTGAGACTAGCGTTTTGCGCTTTGTGAATAAGGTACCGGCAATCATTTACGCGACAAATTGAGAATATCACTTCATAGTATCAATTTAATGATATCCAAGGAACTCAAACCATATTCCAAATAGACAGCTGTTTTGTTTAGGAAGTACAGTGTTGCGGTAACTGTCAATGAATACCTAATTAATTTTAAAACTTTCATCTAATACAAATATATACTTATCTCAAATTCTCGGCACACGTGAATACTTTGATAAAACCAGATACAAAACTCGTGACACAACTCAAAATCCATATTGGAAGCACAAATAAATTTATTTCGTGATCTCGTGCGGACCGCAACTAGTTTGGTTTTTGTGTAGGTTTACGTTTGATAATAAAAAAAAACATGTAGCGGTGATGTCAGCGCCACGTAGTGTTGGCATCTAGAAACAGTGACTCGGTTAGTCAGAGACTCAGAGTATAGATGTAGGTAGTAGGTAGGTACCTAAGTATGAGCACGACAAATTAATTAACTGGTTTCATTGCCGAGCATCGTAACTATGTCGTTCTCGATGGCAAGTTTACTTTGTAGTCCGCACTTAAATGAGCCTAACCAATAAGGTGATCTGGGTTATGGACTCATAAATACATAAAATAGTGGATAGAGGTAAACTGTCCCACTTTTGGCCGACATTGGATCACTATCGGTCTATCCTAACCAAATATATAACGTCTATGTCTGAATTTTACGTATAATTAAGCCGTAGGTAATGTATTGCCAATTAACCTATGGAAAATTAAGCAATACCTAAATTATAACATGAACCTATTATTAAATTGGCTACCAGGTAGCTATATAAGAAGGTGAGCCGAAGCACAATCATGTTAATATCTATTCGGATTTTAAATGTTTCATTTTATTGCCGAGTCCTACCTTCATAGTAGTTGTTATGTCACTATTATTATTACCATCAAACCAGCCGTACGAAATGGTATGTGTATTGTAGTACAGTAATAAATACAAACGCCTACCAAAAATGCGATAGCAATTAGTTTTTAATCAACAACAAATAGCAAACAATTCAAAATGTAATTTACACAGAAATAATAATAAAGTTGTTGGAGCCCTAACCACCGGTAGCTTTGACCATGCCCCGCTACTAGTCGGCTCCTATTGTTATATTTTAATTATTATTTTTCTGTTGTTTTTTTAGGTAGTATTTAAAAATGTAATTTAAGAAATTTTACATAAATGTAGAAAATTCATATATGTAGAATTTATTTCATATAAAGATGAAATTGATGTCTAAATAAATTGGTTTTCTTAGCTTATTTATTGCTGGCACTGGGTCAGTTAGGAATTTTAATAAGTGTTTTTCCTCTATTACGAATAAATTAAAAAAAAATTTAAGGTAAATTTTACTTTGTCTGTATAATATTCAGAAAAATATAATATACTTAATTCTGGTATTACTATTATGTAGAATTGTAGATAAAATAATACGCGTAAAAACAAGTAGCTATAACAAAGAGGATTGATAAAAATAAAATACAATTATTTTTTGTATTTTTGCATAAAAACCTTGACATTTAAAAAACATCAGCACAACACAACTTTAAGTATATGACTTTCAAATAATACAGGCTGAAGGAAACAAGAGGAGTAAATTGTAAATAACTTTTTTAAACACACCAGTTGTACTATAAAAATAAGCACAAATGCTCTCATAATAAGCAGTATTATTGCTTATCAACATTGATGAAAAATACACAGTATCTACTACATCTGTACTTATTTTTTTATAACAAGCAAATCCTTTTAGTGTAGTAGCAATTTGTACGGAACTCTGGCTTTTGTTAGAAAAACTAGGTAGTGTGGGATACTTAGCTCACTAAACCTACCCCAATGGTCACCCTCAAAACCTATGTACAAAGATGTATGTAAGTTTAAAATATCACAATATGAACAAACCTGTGTGTAGCATTTCATCAACATTTCTATGTGAGTTCTGCAATGACAACTGCTCCTGCGCCAAGTAGTCCACGTTTATGGCAGTGTGATCATGTCCAAACCTCCGACTTAACAGTTGTTCTCTATCTCTTAGCTCCTGTTCACGCTTTATCCGCTTATTCTGGGCTGCATTTAGAGATGCCTGTCGAAATATTGAGAATGTAAGATATGTTTTACTAAGTATTAAGCACTGACATATTGGACTCCAAATATTGATGTTTAGGCACTGAGACATATAGTGTTGTAAATGACCTGAATAAGGGTGCAGGGAGTCACTGGATGTAAGTGGCTTCCAACCGGCCTGTCTTGCAAAATTCAAAATAATAAAAATTATAATGGACATAATAGCTGATTTACACTTGTTGTTAAACAGAATAGATATGAGTTTTAGGAAAAATATTCAGTGTATATTACTCAAAACTTTGATCAATTTCTATACCTGAATGTGTTTGTTGTCATATTTCAGTTGGTCAACCCTCATTTTTGCCATAGGCCTCTGGTTGATTGGTGTTTTGAAAACGTATATATCCAACCTCTCGCAGTTCCTGTAATTTAAATTGATAATCAGAAAAATGTACACTGCCAACAATATGTTAACCTTAAATGAGTAAGAATATCTTGTAAAGCCAAATAAATTAGGCAGATAATTAGATTAGCATAATCCATAATAATTACAAAACGAACTTACGCACTAATTGCATTAATTTTTGACTGAATTGCGTTTTCTATGCTCTCATAGTTTGTCGGATCTCTTTCTAACTTCTGGAAAAGTTCTGATGTTTCCTGAATTAGGTGATTAGTCTGATGATACAAAGTCTCCATTTTTCAATATTAGTATGATCAATATATCAGCACAATGTAATTATTAAATAATTTATTACGAATAATATGTTTCACAAAACCTAGATTACAATTCAATAAGGATGTGAACGTTTTGTTATCGTTGAACTTGTGAATGTGAACTGTCAAAGTCTTTAGTACTACATCAAAAAATTTAGTCGATTCCAACAAATTAATTCATGAGAATGATTTATCTTATCTTATCATTGAAAGAAGTAAATATAATACGCTAACAGTCAAACGGAACATTTTTTCGTAGATATATTAATTTTGACATGTGTGTCTTAAAACCATTCATGGTATCACAGGGTTTCAGTCATTTGGGAGACCTACGAGGGGCCGAAGCCAACTTCTCAGTTGTCTCCAACAGATGCAACAGAGAACAGAGGCCCTTTAGACAACTTTAATCTAAATGTAATGGACACACAAACCTGCCACTATCCCAGTATACACTATGAAAATGCACCCAAGTAAATGTCCCCGATTAGAATAAAGCTATTGTAGATAATGAAAAAAGAAAAGGTACCCCTATGGAAGAGTTGCTGTGGCCGATAATAGGCAACTATGGATGACTATGGCACCTGCGCAACAATGTAATTACGGGAATGGTTGCTATGAATTTTACATTATTATTACGATAATATTATGTTCCATACAAAATACAAGAGTCAAAATTATTTTCCTAGTAATCATATTATTTCTATTATGTTGATCACAATATTTAACAACTAGATCACAACTAGTTATTGGGACTGGCCGCACAAGACAACAACGAAACTAACAAACATGCTATTTCTGGCTTTTATCATAAATCATTAGCCGTATAGTATCATCGTATTGTTCAAATTCTTATAACTAAATTATTTCATAGCTTAAAGACTCGCTTAAATATCTTATATTAAGACTTAAATATTTAGTCGACTAATAAAGTTCGTTAATTAGTAGATTTTAATGAAACCACATCACTATACTAATAATGTCATTTTGACGTGGCCAGCACCAACGTAATGCGTTTGGATATTTCACAATATGATGAACTGAACATGTTACAAACAAATACAAATATAACTACTTTACAAGATACCTTACCTAGTAAAATAAAAAAAAAACTCAATAAGTATTGTGAATAGGATTGAATGCTTAATTTAACAACTCCTAATTTTTATAATTATAATTTTTATACTATATTGAACGAAACGTAATTCATTCAATCAAAAGACTTATGAGTCTGTTACCAAATGAATGAATCACGAACGAATGAAACGAAACGAAACGTCAACATTATTTGTCATCCGTTGTACGCGTAATTTATATCTTTTTTGTGGAGAGAGTGAAAATAATCGTAAATTTTGTGTAATACAAAGATAAATATTGGTGTACTTAAGTGATTTATAAAAGAAATTATCTATTTCAACAATGGGTGACGCGTGCCAGGCTTGCCTTGCCCGGGTGCCCCATGCCACACTCATCGCAACGATTATGTGTTGCCTGGGCGTGGGTGTGTTCTGCGGGACTATGTACCGGGGCTCTGCTCTTTCAATACTAATGTTTGACGAAGTATTTCACTTCCGATTGATATGGATTGAAGCGCTGCAAATGATATTCATAGTAGGCAGTGCGTGTATGGCAGCTCTGGGCTTCATGCTTTTGTGTTTGGGTTGTTTGACAACAGGCGCCACCAGGCAGAAAGTATACCGGGCCTGGAGAGCCCGTGTCGGAGGCCGGATATCCTGCGCCGTGTTTATGATCATAACATACATTTTGACTTTTGTATGGATCATGTTACTAGGATTTCTAGTTATTACAACATTCTTATTTACGATATTCTGGAAACTTTGTTCGAAACCGAAAAACATCGACTTATCGACGTGTATTGACTTTACTCAATTTGATTTCATGTTCCCTTCAAGTGTCAAGCAAGAGGATATGAGAATATGTGAGGCACACAAGATAAAGTTGTTCTGCAAAGACTATGTAGAGAAAGCAGAATTCATGTTCATACTGGCGATGGTGTCATGCATACTTGTAATACTGAGCTTGGTGCATTACTTGATGTGCCTGTCAGCTAACTATGCCCACATCCGAGACCATGAGAAGTTCCAGGAGCTGCAGGAGCTGCAGTACTTGACCAACCCGGACCTGCATGCCTCTAAAGATCGTTTCTAGTATATGGCCCGCGCACCTCTACTGCGCTCCCTAGAAGCTACAACTAAAATGTGACAAAGTTAAACAATTGACTGTACTTTTAATAAAGGAGAATGGCAGGTTTGTATGGAAGTTTTGTACCGCTATAAAATTTTGTATTAGTCATTGTTTTAACCAAGTGAATAGTCTGAACGATAGATATTTTTATTATGAAGTTTAGAAAAAAATTACATATTTTTAGAACTTGGGGTTCAAAAGTTATTTCACTTTGAAAATGTGCAAAAGGTATGTTAAGGTGGTACTACACTTGACATTGCGTAGTCGCTTCATTTGTCCAAATATTTGTAGACTACGTACAAATGGAGTCCAAATAGTATCTCTATATGTAATGGCGTGCAAATATATAGAAGAATAAATCCTCCAAACATGTTCTTTTTTGGCCGAACACAACAAATACGCAACGTCAAGTGTAGAGCCACCGTAAGCAAAATATCTATTACAAATGACAGATGACAGTTAACTGAAAAATGTCAATGTGCTCTCATGTGGTTGTTTATTTACAAAAAACAAAAATCTAAAAATACTGCTCGCTACTCAAGTGACTATTACACTTTGTATTATTAGAAAGAAAGAAAGAAAGAAAAACCATTTATTTTGCTACGACACACAACAAGAATTTAGAAACCCAAAAAATAACCTATGGTGCGTCGCAGCGCAAAAGGCAATTAGGAATGATCCTGTTAATTCAGCAAGCATGATGCACCTATAGAGTTTTAAAGAGTATGCCTCACAATCTTTTTCATTTCTTAGGTGCCTACGAAAATGCAAATTCATAATGTAAGCGACTGTCATTGGGTAGAAGGCCTACATTTAGCAGTGGAAGTCTTGTGGCGGATATGATAAAACTAATGTCTCACTTCACCTTGAATCTTGCAGGTAGATAGTCTCAAGGGTCTCAAGTTAATTCGATTTAAACTTAGCTTAGCTCTTTGAGAAAGTATTTCTTCTGAAAACTGGTTGCTTAGCACGCATGTAAGGATTAATTTCTAATAAGTAAGTCAAATTGTGGGTTGGTAATTCAAACTTATAATAAGAAATTATAAGCCCATGTTTCCTCACAATGTTTTCCTTCACCATTCGTCAGCGGTGTCTTTGTACTTTCTTAGATTATTGAATATACCAATAACTCGGAAAAAAGACACATTGGACAAAAGGTACTTTGCCGTTGGTAGGTTTCGAACCCGCACTCTCATGCATGAGAAGCGGGCTTCTTAAACCTCTGGGCCACCACATTACAACTAAAGAAAATGTAAAATGAAAATGAACATTTTTGGTATAAAACTAAAGCTATCTAAATTAAATATGGCATTTATTTTATAGATTGATTCTTAAAATCACTTTTATCAAAGATGGAATATATAGTTACCTACTAGGTTAAAATAAAACAAATGTATTATTTTGAAATACTTTTATTTCATTGTATTCAGGTTGTTTCTAGGAGTACTTCATCTAAAAAGAGAACAGGCCGTGTCATAGGTACAGCAGACATCAATTGCTGATATCTGTAAACAAGTAAGATAACTGTAAATAAAGTAACAAAAGTACATTTTTTTCCTTTAGTTTTATATGTTATAATAATAAGTCTGATTCCCTATCTTAAAATGGAAAAGATAAAAATAAATATTTGATTACATTACTTCATTTTATAACATTTATTATAGTTATTCGTATAAACAGATCATAGGAGCTCAAACAGCATGCTAATTAATAAATTATAATTATAACATGAGTATAAACCTATTAGAAACCGCTTATATACTCCACATAGATACATAATTATGTAGGTACATTATATTGAGAATGCATACCTGTTGAAGCTTTGAGAGCCGAACAACATCATCCGGCCTCATCTGTTCTACAAATGGCAATGTTAAAGTGAGGCTTAGTCCATGTTTACATAATACATTACTTCCTGATAGTGAACACTGTGAGGTGGTATGTCAGGTTGTGGTTTTATAGTTTCGACTCTTGTACGGTCTCTCAGTCAGTATGGAACATGATCTTCATCATGGGAAGTAAGCTAAAATAAGTAATATTATTAGAATATGATATTGACTTTAGATTACACTGTATATAGATAATAGTATGGTTAAATTATGCTTTATTACCTCTTGTGGCTGAATCCAATCAAATACTATATGAGCCAGTCTTTACTCCTGTTTGTTGGCGCCTTCAATTAAAACCCTGCGTCACCTTATCATTGCAATGAATCACCCATATACGACACAAACATGCCAGTGACCAATTTGTTTGCTGGACATACTTTCAGCAACATCCCGATACGTTGCTAATTGCCAGCAAGCATTGCAAATATGGTCGGTAGGAGAGATCTAGAATAAAAAGAATAAAATGATACATTATGGGTAGATAACAGTATGCGCCTTCTTTTATTCAGGAACATGGTGACTTTCGATATGTTATGGGTAAACTAGGTACTTACATCTCTAGGATAAGTCCACATTGGGATATTGTTGACCACGTCTAATCTTCACTCTCATTTTCTAGAGCATGCCGTCTCATGTGCGACAAACTCTGAATGCAATTAATACACTGTAAATTCATTATCGCGACAAATAACAACACACTGCACAAAATAATGTAAATAAGTGTCTTTTCGCAATTGTCACAACAATGATGCCAATAACACCAATTTGGGCTACGGAGGAACGGTTGCCAAACTCAACGTATCACCAGATGAATAAAATAACTTCAAATTCAACAAACACATCATAACATCGCATTTGAAACAAACAGCAATGCGCCAGTATTGACAAATTAATTGTCAATGTCATCAAGACAAATGCCAGTTCAACATTGCCATAATATTCAAGTTTGTTAAAATGTTAATTATCATTAATAATCCATGTAAACGTAGATTTAGATTGGATGTAGATTTTTATATTTACTTATAAAAATGTTTGAAATGGAAAGGAAAATATTTCATTGATAGATATTAAAATAAATGAGTTTATGAAATAGCGAAATTCAATATGCTCTGATTTCATCTTTACGCATGGCAACTTTGTAAACGTCAATCGCGGTTCGTTTTACGTATAGTGGATTGCTTTTTATCATTATTGAATATCAGATTTTCTAGGGTTTCCCAAGTTTTAAAAATCTATTAAATATGCTAACATAACGTACTTAGGAGGTTCTATAATGACCCAAGTTTTTAATGACAAATCTTTTTTTAGCGAAGCGGTACAAAATCTGCCGTTCTCCTTTGGTGTTCACTGACAAATTGAATATAATGAAAAGACTGACATTCAGTGAATGGTTACTGCAAGAGTGTAGCTATCTAGTTGTAACTAAACATGTACCTATTGTATTTCACATATCTTATTTCTCAATGAATTGATGATTCTGTCCACACTTTAGAACATTCCTTTGTTTAGATGTTTACGGAGAATTTGTTAAAGAGAAGCAAATATTTAAATGTTTAGGTGCTTATCTAAGTATTACTTTGTCTTTGTTTAATTGACTTGTATTAGTAACCTAGTAAGTGTATTGTTGTAAGATATCACTATAATTATATGTCAACGGGACATACCTTATTATTGATGTGACCTTTTAAATAATATCTATACAGTATTTATAAATTATTTTAGACAATTGTTCTTTATTGTTGCTTCTGTCTTTGTATGACTACTGCACAAACAAAAGAACACTGATAAACAATATTGGACAGTGATATCACTTATTATTGCAATTGGACATATTTTTGTTCAAAGTTTAGTACAAGGAATTATATATTTTTATTTATAAAATTTACTGGAAGACTCAAGTGTTTATATGCAGGTGTAAGAAACCATAAGTTGTTCATTTAATTAAAGCAAGTAGTTAGTTGTAAGTAATTAAATTAGTAGACTGAAATTTTTATCACTTATCAAACCTTTTTTAATTTTGAAGTTTTACTTATTGTCAAAAATGCATTTAATCCTAATACAGTAAAACTTCTTGGTAGCTATTCTATAATGTGCATCTATTTGAGCAGCGATGTTTACAATATAATAGCTTTTCTAAGTACTCTTATTTTTCAACTGTGTAGACTTCAGAACAGCTTTATCTTAATACTGTAAAAATAAACTCTATATGAAATTACAAGCCAGTTTATCAAAAATACAAATGTATATTTTTATTGAATTTTATGATGCCTACGAAAATATGCCATAGTCAAATCAACTTTTTATTTTAAACAATATTTGGATTGGAAAGTTGCATTTATTTTGTTGATACTAGGAAATACTTTTATATTAATTATATTGACGATTTTGTACACCTATACTAGTACCTACGTAATGTTAAGTTGCACTTAAATATGTAAGTGAAAATGTATGAAATCAGTTAGGTTTTATAATAAATGTTCGTTTTTTTATAAACATTTGTGTGATTAAACTATTGCTTATGAGTAAAATACCACTACCATTTTACGTTTTTAATGCAGCTAGTCACTAGCACAAATGAACAAAATTGTCACGTAAATAAGAACATAAAAAACTCCTAGAATAGACTTAGAAGAGTGACAAAACAACGAATAAGTTGTTATTGTGCGGGTTAACTGTCGTGAAAAATAATACAAAAACACTAATGTCATAATAATTGTTTTTAACAGTAGTGTAACTAAGAGAATGAACTACGCCGGGACCTTTGGCTCAAGGGGCGTGGGTCAGTCTCAATTAGAACTCATTAGACCTCAACGTGACGTGTGTAACATGTATGTAGGTGACCATGTACAGCAATATTTCCACCTTTACTATATAGGTACTTTACCGTTTTGTTGTCCAAACGAATGATACTTCTGTGCACTATGCCAGTGCCACTACAAAACATGATTTTAGAAAAAGACACTTCTATAATAAATTCTCCCGTGTTCTGGTGGGGGAAATAATTTCTCCTATTTGTAAGAAATCAATAATTTGTAGATCATAACAATTCGTTTTTCCTTGTGCATACGGAAATCG